CTTTAGAGTCTGGATCACCAGAGGATGAATTACTTCAGATGTTGACTTCTTTAGAGTCTGGATCTTCCATCAGAGCCAAAGTCTTCAGAAGTGATCTTTAGAGCAAGAGTCTAAACTTCAGATGCAGAATCTTCAAGCTTCTCTTCATCTGTTCATAGCCTTATAATCTTACATTCTTGAATAGATGTTATAATACTTAATTGTTCTTTAAATACATTGTTATCATCAAAACCTAAGGGATATGGTATCAACCAAATTTGTTCCAATAGTTTCAAATGTATGTTCAAATTATAGGTGCTTAATAATCAGTGACAAATCTTAGCACAAAATTTTTGGACAACCTACAAGAGTTTCCATTTTGGTTATTGATTTTATTGGTTAATCATTTGTTTTAGTTTTGTTTTTAAATTATAAGATGTGTGTAGTTTTGGCTTTGCATTTGGTGTAAACAATTAATATTTGTGGTACAATGTTTTTGTTTGAGAAATAAACAAAATGTACAAGTTTCTGTTTTAGAAATATGCAAAATATGGTTCTATATTTTATGATATGGTTCTGTAATATAGGTAAAAACGAAAGTATATCAAAAATATAATGTTATTCTCTCAGTTTTTACTTATAACCAGGTAAAAGTATTTTGCTATTACCTCGGTTTTACACAAAACCAAGATTTAATATTTGACGCGCCATCCAGTTCTGAAAATAATAAAAAGACAGATGTTGAGGATCGAACCTATGTGCAGATAACTTTACCCTTCAATTATTTAGGAACCGGGGGGTAAAATGGCCGCTTTTCATGACGTCATTCGTTACCTCACTTCTGTAATCGAGGTTAAATACATTTCACGTCCGAGGTTAAATGTGTTTCTGTAGTAGTGACAACCACTTTTTTAATAGTTGTAGATTTGATATATGGCGAGCTAGGTTTAGAAATTTTATTCAGAGTATAAATCATGTATTATGCGACTATTATAAATGGTCTGTTTATCCCTACTTACCAAGTAAATGAAAAAGTAGTAGGTAAACCTAATTCCCTTTGGACCAAAAGAGAAAGTTTGAAATATATTTTAAAACCAATACTTTTATAGTAATGTCTCTGGATAATAATTAACTTTTCAATGTCCACCATTGCAAAATTTTCAAGGAAATGTAGAATAATCTTGAAATGATATATGAAGTTTCTCCAAGTATCGAACAAAAAGACATAAACACATAAGGCATAGAGGATGAAGATACCACCTTTAAATGTTTTTCAAAGTTTAGAAATATTATAAATTATACTTGAATTTTTATCTCTAACCAATGTATAAGAGTTAAGAATTGCAAGTTTAATCATATTCTTAAATCAAAAGACACGAGCCTTCATGAATTTCAGGAAAGTTCAAGAAAGAATGAGATCATATAGAAACTGAACGAACTAGTTCAATTACTCAAAGATGAATGAACAAAAACCTAAGAATCATCAAATTCATCTTACTCACATCATACAACTCGGATGGAATCCTTTGACATAACATACTAAGTAGTTGAGAAATCTCCGAAATATTCAACATCAAATGAAGGAACCTTGTGTTTAAGAAATTGTAAAGAAAAATAATCTTCAAGATTCAAAAGAAGAAAATGAGGAAAGACATCAACCTCAAGAAGAAATATAAAAGAACCTCATTCCAATGAAGAATATGAAGTTTTATTAAAGGCACCCTACTAGCAAGATATTATTAAGGTAACTAAACCACCTTACAGTTAAAGAAAATAATAAACTTAGGGAACACAACTTAGGTCTTAAGGAGTCTTTAAAATCTCCTGAAGAAATCAATAAATCATTTAAGATAGAAATAACTATAATTATAAATTCAAGAGAAACATGTGAGACTTATGTCTCCTTTAAAAAGGATGTACTTGATTTACATGAGACCATATGTAAGTTTGCCCAAGGGAAATAAAAGTTTGACTTGATCCTATCAAGCAAAAAATCTTTCTTAAACAATAATGGACTAGGATTCAAAAAGGATAGAAAGAAATGGATTTAATTTTGGAGATGAAGAGGACACAGAAGAAACAACCATAATAGGAAGATAAGTTCTACCATCAATGAGATTTGAGATCATCAATGTAAAAGCGACTGAAAATCCCTCATTAAATAAGAAGAAAAGAAAAGTAAACAAACAATATGCACCCATAGAGATAGACGACTTCGACTACCCTATTTCTTAACCTTTCTAACTACCCACAACTAGCGGCCGACTCAATGTCCTAATTGAAAAGATAAATGTGATCGATGACAAGTACAACTTCATAACTCGATACTTCATCCCAGACCAAACACAACTGCCACGAAACCTGTTCTTTGATGATGATTTTGATAACGAATAGTCTCACATAGATGTCTAAGTGTGTTTATTTTATGTTGTTTCTTGTTTTTTACACTATTTCAATTTTAGAATTTCCCTTTTGTACTTTCAATTCCTAGTAATTTCTATTAATGAATAAAATACTATCTTCTCCCTTTCCTAAATGTCTAATTGGCAATGTTGGCATATTTAACTTTATCACAATGCATCTTTACCCGCCTTTTTGATTTTGACAAAGGGGGAGAAATATACTCTCTGGAGGAGTAGTGTATATACTCTCTACTTAATAAGGGGGAGTTTAATTACTCCAAACAAATATTTGTTTCTTTTGTCAACTCCTTGAGATATGTGGTGTCATCATTAAAAAGGGAATAATGTGGAACCTTGTTTTGTAGGGTATGGAACTTGCTTTTGATGATGAAAACTATTAAAGATGAATAATCCTTTGATAATGACAACATGTCCTTGAGGATAACCGAAGTGCGGTTAAGGATGAAATCAAATCCTTAAGATTAATTGTACTAGACTCTCGGATGATGGCAGCCAAATGAAACATAGATAAAACCTAGCCTCATATCAAGCTCAAGTAAGTGTCTACAAGGATAAAACATCTGACAAGTCGCGAAGTATATGAAAGTTTATCTCACACAATGCATCTGAGTGAGTACATTGTAAAAGCATAAGGGATTTTTCGTAAAAGTGCATGCTTAAATCACACACACCCATAGGAAATGTTAGAAAAGATATGGGCAAATTTTTTCTCTTGCCAATCGATTGTCACCTAATGGAAATCGATTGGAGAAGTTCAAAAATGCACCCTAATCAATTAAGACAATGATAATGGCGAAATATATTTTATTTTATTTTTGAGTTTACTATTCAATTAACTTATGCCTACTAATCGATTGGAGCATGATGTCACTCGGTTGTCACATCATTAATGGTTTTTTTCTTTTTAGTGTCAACCTGTAGCCTATAAATAGATGTCCCTTCCCACATATGTTCACATCCAGAAATGTGATTTCATTTCTCACTTCTCACACTCTTTCTAAAAATTCTTTTTGTTTACTTTCTCTCACTAAATGTTTAGCCGTAATTCTTTTTCAAGAAAGTTGTTTTGCAAGTGAGGAAGTTGTAATTCTGGAATGGTAGTTTTGTAAGTCCACCAATGAAATTTTATTTATCTTGGTTGAATATTTTGCTAATTTAGGGTGTTTGTTTGGATCCGAAGTTAAACCCATAAAATGCTTTGGTTTGAGGATTGTATGATCAAGTGTCCGAAGGTTCGAGATTATTCTGGTGGTAAAATATCAGAGGTTCTTGGTTAGCCCTCGATAAAATAAAGTTCCAATTAAAGCTCAACCCAGTGTTAAAAGCTTGTTTCAGTTCAAGATGAACACGTGATTAAATCTTTGTTTGAAGCTTGACGACTAACCGCTCAAGGTTTCTTATGAAAAAGAGACTAACCACTTCGATCCATCATTTGAAAGGAAGACTCACTGCTTCTCTTTCGTGTTTGGTGTTTGATTGGAAGTTAGCCACAAACTTCATTTTCCTTGTATAAGGGTGTTCGAGAGTTCAACATGCTAAAAACTCTTAGTTTATTGGATACTTTCAAGAATAATTCTTGGGGAGAGGACTAAGTTTTTTTTCTTTCTCTTTTGACCGAACATCTATAACTTCTGACGTCTTCTCTATTCCCTTGACTTTTTATATTTCTGCATTTTATTTTCTGCAATTTTATTTTTCGTCGCATAACTCTAAAATTTTTCTAAAATATTTTCGAACTCTGATTTTAATCCTAAAAGTTTTTTAAATCCAAGTTTTTCTGAAATACACAGTTCACACCCTCTTGCGTGAAAAGTCACATGTCCAACACATTCGTCCATGAACCCTAGATATGCCCCCGGGTTCGAAAACCATTGTGCTACATTTTCTTCGATCCATCTTCCCTTGACGCGTAGACATTTCCAAAATTTTGTCTCTTCCACCATTTTTTCGACATAGACGTCTTCGCTTCGAAGAATCTTTTCATTTCTAGTCTTCTAAATGATCCATATACAAACAAACCATAATATCGCCATATTTACAACTGATGTTTTGTCTGTCTCAAAAAACATTCAAATTGTTCCAGATGATTCCATCCACCGACCTGCATAGTTATAGTTATGCCAAGCCATAGAAAAATATAATTTCAAATCCATGTCAATTAGTACATACTTAACCATAACGAGTCCACCTCCTTCTCCAACATGGGATAATCGATTCAAAATTCTACAAATCAACTATTAGATAAACCCCACAAATTAAACTTTATAAGTGTCCATCACACAAGAGCACTGATAAAAAAATTCTAACACATTCATAACTGATTGATCGATAAAAAAAACCACCGAAATTAACTTTTATAGAGATATAGTTAAGAGATAAAAAAAAAATATTTACCTTATCTTAAAATTAAACTTTGAAGTAAAAATCTCTTTAAAAACATGTAGATGATACATAGATAGATAGAGGAGTGAAGAAGTTAGATGGTGTAGTAATATTCCACGTGTGCAACGACCAAACCCTCTCTCTTCTCATTCTCCTCGTATAAAACCCCGCCATTTCCATTTTCACCCAAAACCTTAATCAAATCTCGATCAGAAAATGGATGAATTCTTACCCATTGTTGCGTTTTCGCTTCTTCTAGGTACCATCATTGCCCTCCTCTTCTTCAACACCTATTACCGGAAACGCCAATCCGAAGTCCGATCCATCGCAAATGTGAATCCAAATCCAAATCCAAATCCCAACCCAATCACTTCCTCTTCAAAACCCCTTCCTAATAAGAAGTCTAACCCTAAACACCATTCCTCTGACAAGGTCCTTTTCCTTTCCCAATTTCAATTATCTTTGCTTTTCATAAAAATCTGTGAATGTAATTGATTTAATTGCTTTTGCTGTTACTATGTTTTGTAGTTCTGTAAGTGATTGTATGAAATTTGATAAGAGTTTAGTTTGATAGCTTGATTTTTATATTAATGTTCATGATTAGTTTTAATTAACAACTCATGCATGGTTGATTTCATATGGTGCTGTTATGTAAATTGAGTAATATATCAGTTTAGGAATGACTGGTTTAGATTATGAAAGTGGAGTGTTGTATTGAAGTGAAAGAAGTTTACTTTTTCTTTTTAGGATGTCTATGGAAATTGGAACCTGAAAATTATTACTGATTTGTTGTTTGGGAAGATTGTGTGATTTTAATTCAGACATTTGTTTTTCCTTTTAGGGTTTTGGTTAATTTGGTGACAATTGTTTTTAATTTTGTAAAATTAATTTTTGTTAAAAGTGAGTTTAAGGTAAGGTAAGCTGATTTTTGTATGGATACGTTTAGGTGAAAGTGAAAGTGAGTTGAATAATAGATTTTAATTTAGAAAACATGTTTGGAAGCAAAAGCTACAAATTCTAGCTACAAGTTAAAATAAATTCTAGAGACAAAATCAGGTCTAATTGAAAACTCACAAGCATACACAGATTCATTTAAGTCTTCATAATCACTTTTGGCTCTCTCAAAAGTGAATCTATGCATGCATGTAGTCTCAAGTTTGGATTGATGTTGTTTGAATGCTTTTCAAGTGTTTACTAGTTATTGTTTTGTGGAAGTTTAAGTTAATTTCTGATGATTGATGAGAAATTATAGATTTTATCAATACATGTTGCTGATGCTTACGGACCTTAAGCTATTGCGTCAGGTCTTCACTTTTCAGCTGTCACTGTGCTGTTTTGTTGATGAAATGAAACACCACATTTTGGGAATCAGTGATTTTCTGTGATTTATTTTATTATTTAGTTTTTGCTTGTCTTAACCTTTTGTTTTTTGGGACATAAGGATCAAAGCAAACGGCATCATCCGTTGGATTTGAATACTTTGAAAGGCCATGGTGATGTAGTTACTGGGCTAAGCTTCTCTCCTGATGGACACAACTTAGCAACAGGTATTTAAACATATATTTGTTTGTGAAAAGATATTTGTAGTGTATGTTTGTAGATACTACCATCATGATTTCATCAACTAAAGATATATTTAGTGATGTTTATAGTTACTACCATTATGATTTCATCAACCTTCATGAAAATGATCACATATGGCCTTCGCCAAGTTTACTTGAGTCAGTGGTAGAGTTATGTCCAATGTTGTTTGTGTCGGTGCTTCATAGCCAATAGGCATATGCTCATGCAGGAATGATTAGCTATTACAAACATCTCCTTAATTTCACCTATTACGGTATTGCCAAATTGTGTCTCTCTTGCTCCCCCTTGCCATTGGTTTCTTCATTTGTGTTACAGAAAATAAAGAGCCTGTCCGTCCCTTGCCCACTTTGATTAAGTTCATTGCGAAGTAGACATGTTCTATTTTTGAGTTTAGCAGCATAAGCTCTCCTCTCCTTTCGTAAAGCAGAATCACCGCGAACAGGAACATGTATCAAATCCAAGATTGGAATACAGAGGGGGTTGCTTAATTTGCTAACATTGTTTATGATACAACATAGTTATTCAATATCTCTTCATAAAAGAAATTATACTTAAAACATCAGGGGCTTAACAACCACAAAAATAGTTTTATTCCACAGACATGTTCAAGTGAGGAAAAAATACTGTTGAAGTTGAGGGAAATGGGAAAACGGAAACCCACTAAAGGCTGGCCAAATGAAACCAGCTGTAAACATAAAATTGGCCAACATTTAATTTTATGCCTCATTTTCACTAAGTAATTACATTTGTTGATTTGTATTTTTTATCTATCATTCTTGCTTCTATGAGTATTATGACATAGTGCTCCTAGTTGTTCAATTTGTCCTGTTTTTAATTTTACTTGTATTTGAACGTTTTTTATGGAACTTTTCTCTTACAATCTTACTCTATATAATTTGTGCGAACAGCTTGTGCTGATGGACTGGTGAGAGTATTCAAGTTGGAGGATGCTTCGAGTAAAAGTTTCAAGTAATTTCAACAGCCTCTTGATCAACTTATGTCAATCATATTCTATTTGCTTAAATTTTATTTTCTCAACTCTGTTGCAGGTTCCATAGAATTAATTTACCTCCTGGAGGTCATCCAACTGCAGTTGCGTTTTCTGATGATGCATCCTCCATTGTAGTGTCATCACACAGTCTCACTGGTTGTTCATTGTATATGTATGGTGAAGATAAACCTAAAGCTTCTGAAGATAAGCCACAAACAAAGCTTCCTCTCCCAGAGATTAAATGGGAACATCACAAAGTTCATGATAAAAAAGCAATAATTACTATGTTTGGAACCTCCGCCACTTATGGCAGTGCTGATGGAAGTGCATTAATTGCCTCGTGTTCAGAAGGTATCTTGATGTTTCATCCCACATTAGAACAAGAAGAAAATGTTTTTTGTGATCTATATAGTAGGTTCTTCTCACCTATGCAGCAAATATGAATGGATTTGGATTTTATGTTTCCCTTCCTTCTACCTTATATTTTTGGTCACTAAATACTGGAAAGGTTTCAGCTGCAAAAGGAACTTCTGAATAATAAACGTAAAATTATTAACTAAACTTTTTGTTGTTGTGTGAGGTTTGTGCTGCTCTCTAAATAAATGCTCTGTTCTTGTAACTTTCATTGGGATTTGCTTATGAAATTTTTATCACAATTGTTACACACCACAAGATTATGTTCAACAATGACTTTCTACAATTTCTATCCTAACATTTGATTCCAAATTCAGGGACTGACATCATTCTTTGGCATGGAAAAACTGGGAAAAGTTTGGGGCATGTGGATACAAATCAACTTACAAATAACATGGCTACTATATCTCCCAATGGGCGCTTCATTGCAGCTGCAGCGTTTACTGCAGATGTTAAGGTGAATTTCTATTTAATTCATTCGGAAATGCGTATCTTTGATGTATACACACACAGACACTCACACACATAACTAGTTGCATGAACATATAGTATGAAATAGTGTGCAGCCTTTAGGGTTCCTCTCACATCTTTTAATAGCTCAAGTTGGAATCCAGATTTAGTCCTCGCCCTCAACTCAACAATGAGACTATGTCCATTAGGTTTTATTCCATTGGTGTTAGCCTTGAAAATTCTCCTATGCATTTATTTATTTCTATTCAAATGAAAAAAAATGAAGAAAATAAGCAACATGGAAAGTTAACTGACTCAAATATTATGTTCATGCTTTTGAATATTCAATTACAGAATCACCTCCCCAGTCTGATTATTCTTGTGTTTCTCTATCACCCTATGCACTTATGTGACCTTTTTTACTTTAGTTTTATGAATGGTTAATATGCAATTTGGGCAGAAGCAATATTCTATCGTGGCCATTGATAAAAACGAATTGAAACTCAAGATGTGGGTTTTCATCTATTCAAGTAGAAAAACAATTGAAAAGGCCGGGCATAAGAAGGATGTTTCCTAGAAAGTAAAATAGAGAGAAAAAGGGTAAAACAAGATCTTATGCAAGATCCCGAACTTGACAACGGTGATAATAATAATAATAATAATAGGGATTCAAAGCTGCAAGGACTTTTTATAGGGGCCGAAACTGAAATAGGTGTATAATATAGGCACTTAAAAGTTTTTTATGCCAGCAATGTTAGATTATGTTTTGAAGTAATGCAAAAGGTTGTGGCACTCATGATCCCTTCCCTACTATTTAGTTACAACCTATTTATTCCACCAAAAAGTTGTTCACTGTTATTTATGCTTATTTATATGTTCTTCAGTATTGCTTACTTACAATGTCTTGCAGGTCTGGGAGATTGTATATGCAAAGGATGGATCTGTCAAGGAAGTTTCAAATGTTATGCAGCTTAAGGGGCACAAGGTTTAAAATTTAGTTCTATGATTTTTGGGTTATTTAGAATTCTTATCAGAGTTATCTATGACGGATGGCGGTCCATGGCGGAGAGCCAAAACTCTGCCATACCAATCGCTTTGCGGAGGCACTATAGCGGATTATGGCTGAAACCCCCGCAATATCGGCCGATATTTACCATTGCGGTGAGCCCAAAAACCTCCATGTATATCCGCCATAGCGGTCATGGCGCTGCTATTAGATAACACTGATTCTTATTAAGCCTGGTTTTGACTTGATGAATAGATTTTGCAAGTCGAAAAAATTAAATATATTTTCTGTCTAATGCATTATATTTTCAATCATGTGAGAGTAGGGCTGGCAATGAACCAAACCAACTCGAAAATAGTTCGGAATTCGACTCGACAATTAAATCGTTGAACTAGGTTCATGAACCAAATGAGTTGAGTATGAGTGAAAAATTAAGTTCGTTAACTAAATGAGCTGAACTTGAACTATACATAGTTCGACTCGTTAGGTTCATGAGTCAACTCGATTACATATGAAAAGAATTATACTGTCTTTAAGATTAGGTTTAAATATTTACTTCAAATCTTAGACAAATTTAATATTTAATTTAGTAGTTTTTGAATTAGACTCTCAAATGTATCTCTTGAAAGTTGTGTAGGTTTTGAATTAGTAGATTTCGAAGATAAAGTTAAATTTCAATATAATAACTTTTATTTTATTTTAATATTTTATTTAAAACATATATATATTTAAAATGTCAAATATACTAAAAAATATATATATTTAAAAAAATAGTTTTTAAGTTCGCGAACCATGTGAGCTGAACTTAATGAGATGAACCTAACGAGTCGAATCGAACTGTTCGTGAACCTATATCGAGTCGAGTTTGAGCTTAAAAAAAAGTTCGTGTCGAACTCGAACTCGAATTCGAACAATTCTTAACGAGTCGAGCCGAGCTGAGGTGAGTTCGACTCGACTCGACTCATTTCCAGCCCTATGTGAGAGGTATATTATGTGCTGATTTCCTTGTAATTGAGAATATGATAGCTAACATTTGTTTTAGAAAACAAGAGCATCTTATCTTATCTTGGATAAAAGTAAGTTTGGATACTCTGAGATGGATTTCTTCTTTATAAGAAATCAAGTCGAATAGATGGCTTTGCATAAATCGCAAAACCATACCTAGAGTAAGCTTGGCTACCCAATAAAGTGACTTGGTTATGGGTGTATGAGTTGAGAGAGTAAACAAAAATGACCGTGATAGGGTTTGAATGATCAAATGGTTGCATTTGGATGTTGGAAAATGAAGGAGCTTTTAGAGAAGAGTTTTGGATGGAGGGTGTTTGGAGGCAGAGAAGTGCTAAGGTTTCAATATAGACACTTGGAGAATATAGGATGGAGAAGTTCTTTATTCTTTATAGGAAGAATAAACTCATAAACCATGCTCTGAAGTATAAAACCATGGGAAATTCAAGCGAAACTCCCATGAAAATCATTTAATCACGGTTTAGAAAATTAATTAATTTTATCCCGGAGTCGTCTTCCATGGAAGCAGTACAATTGCTATAACTAAATGCTTTTTATCTTATTCTAAATTTCTCCAAGTTCTAAATCAAATGTATTCAGTTGTATAACTAAATGCTATATTTCCCTGAGGCAGAAAGAAGAAATAACTCTCAGTGACGTTGTTTAACTTGCTCAAGAAAATGAAATAAAATTTGTTTATGATTGCATTCCTATCTTCATAAAGTCTTCATTGTAATCTATTACTTATTTGGTATAATGAATGATTTTATTACTTCCCTTTGTTCAGAGTGCAGTGACCTGGTTATGCTTTTCTCCAAACTCTGAACAAATAATTACAGCATCCAAGGATGGTTCCTTAAGAATATGGAATATCAACGGTAAGCAAAATTTGAATATTTTTTCACTTGTCAAATTGGTTTCATTTCTGAGGGGTTAGGTTAATTATATTATTTTGTTTCATTGTATTTGTCCTTGTATCTTGAAGTTCGCTATCATATGGATGAGGATCCCAAGACACTGAAGGTGTTCCCAATTCCTCTTTGTGATTCTACCGGTACTGCATTGCACTATGATCGCCTCAGTATTTCACCTGATGGTAAAGTTTTGGCTGCAACCCATGGTTCTACATTGCAGTGGTTGAGTGTTGAGACTGGAAAGGTTTTGGATACAGCTGAAAAAGCTCATGATGGTATGTATACCCTAGAATTGAATCTTTTATATTTCTTATTCTTACATTTTGTTATTAAAATAATCAAATACTTAAACCATTTATGATCCTCCAATAATTGATTATTTTATTCACTTACAGGTGACATTACAGGCATTTCATGGGGGCCTAAAACTATTCCAATGGGTACAGCTTCTAATCCTTCTCTACTCTTTTTGATTTTTCATATATTTGTTAAACGTTGGGGCTAAACACAATAAATAAACATCCAACTATATTTGTATCGTTCAAGCTGAAGAAATTTTTTTATGGGACTGCGGTAAGACTTGCGATGTTGTACGAGACAAAATGTTGGGCGGTTAAGAATGAACACAAGAATAAAGTTAGTAGTGTAACAGAGACGAGAATGTTGCGTTGGATATGTGGTAAGACTAGACCAAATAAGATTAAAAATGATAATATTAGAGAGGGTTGAGATAGCATCTATAGTAGAAAATATAGTGGAAAATAGACCTAGATTCTATGGTAAAGAGAATAGATAAAAAAGAGAAGGGTCAAAGAGTTAGAGGGGAAGAGGAAGGCTTAGAAAAACTCTTAGATAAGTTATTAAGAAAGATTTAGAGATTAACGATTTGGAGAGAAGTAAGGTTCTGATAAAGGAGAAGTTGATCTATGTAGCTGATCCCACCTGCTGATGTTGGCTAAACACACTAAATAAATAACATCATGTTTGTAAGAAAATAACATCATGTTTTGGCAGTGAAAACATGTAGTATAAACTTGGTGGTTGTTGTGATTTAGTATGTGTTTGTATATCCATAGTAATTATGCCTAGACTGTATCTCATATACAACTAACATGTAATTTTTGCATATAAAACACTGTTGCTTCATTTTTCAGGAAAAGAACAAGTCTTGGTTTTAGCCACGGCCAGTGTTGACAAGAAAGTGAAGTTGTGGGCAGCTCCATCGTGAACCAGTTAGTATATACTAGTGCATCATATGCTAGTGCTGACAACCAATATATGCTTAAAGACATGATATCCTGGAAAAAAAGATGAATGAGAAAACTAGGATGAGGTGAAAAAGGGACTAGTCCTTGTGTTGCTTGTGTCGCTGCTTTGACTTCTTCGGTCTTTCGAGTTTTCATGACTAATAGTTTGTACAGACATAGATGGTTTTGTTGATTTTGATTGTGCTATGCTGCTAATTAGTCGGAATTGAATGAAGAGGTAATGCGAGAATAGTTAATTGTTAGTAACTTTGGAAGAGGAATTATTGGACATGTTGCCAGCTATTATTATACTAGCCATTATTATACAGGGTTTTTCATTTAAAAATCTTGCTCATATTTACTGCACCACGGTGAGGACGGTGAGGATTACTCTTCAATTTTCTAGTCACGAGTGAAAATGGTGGTTGTGTTGGGAAACAACTGGAAATTTGGTTTGAACGCCAAATACTTATTTTAAATGAAATTCACTGCTTTACTACATTTTCACCTGGCTATAGTGCATGTTAGTTTAAAATATTTATAAGGATTAATACTTATTTTTTGGGCCTTACATTTCCCACCCCATGGGACAAAGGATTATCCTTTGGAAACTCAAAAATACCTTTGTTACTTTGTTAAATTTCGGAAGTGCATAATCTAAAATATTCTTATTGCACTCTATATTTCTAATATATGTGAATTTTTAAATATGCTTCGTGTTTTTAGAGATATGTCTTTGGATGTATCTTTTGTACACTTAAAGATAATTTTGAGAGACGCCTCATATATTTGATTAGATTTATTTTGGAGATATATCTCAAAAATGTTATAAGAAAAATATTTTAATTGCTCAGTTCAATGGATATTTCGGATATGTATTTTCGAAATTATGGATGGCATTTTGAAATTTTCTTTCACCTTTGCATGTCAAGTATTTTCAAAGATGCATCTTCGGAAATTTTTGATATAACTCTCAACTGTATGATCAGTTCTCCATTGTTGTCATATTTCATTCTCACCTAAACACTCACCCTAAAAATGGCAAAATAACCTTTTTCGTCTCTTAACTTTAGCTTGGGGTCTAATTTGGTCCCTTAACTTTAAAAAGTGTCAAGTTAGTCCTTTAACTTTTAAAATGGTGTCACGTTTATCCTTCCGTTTGTTGCCGTTAGTCAAATTTTGAAAAAAATGCCACGTTTGTCTAGGTGGAGCTGCTGACGTGGATATGAAATGTCTTAAAGAAAGATAAAACAATCCAACGATTCCATTACCCAGAAGATTACACGATACAATGCTTGGAGACTCAATGAATCATTGAATCATTGAAGACGATTCAAGGTTTGTAGACGCGAAGATTCAAGACGCGAAGGATTGAGGGCGGAGGATTGAAGACGATTCAAGGAGACATAATCAAAAGGTTAATTCATTTATCTCTAATTTAGGGTTTACAAATCTCATAGGACAATATCTGCTAGAGGTTCAGATTTAGGGTTTATGTAAATTTGTTAGTGTAAACTCTAATTATTTAGATGATATGATTAGGTATCATGGATGAATCATAACTCTCAAAATTCATCATAGTGGTGAGTTCACAGATGAATGTCGTAGTGTATATGAGAATGAAGTAGTAGATGATTTGATAGTAGATGTAGACAAATGGAGTTATTTTGAGCTAGTTGGTGTATTGAAAGACTTAGGTTATAGGGAGTTTGAAACAATATTTTACAAGGACCCTCAATTTGGGATGAACCCACTTGTTGATAACAATGGTGCTTTAGAAATTGCATATCTGTATAGGGTACACCAAAATATTGATATTTATATTGAACACACCTTGTCTCAACCTAATTACTATGATGTTGTTGTTGATGAAGTTGATGAGGACCCTGCTGAAATTGTAGATGAGGTAGAGGAGTTACTTAGTCAACTGCATGATGAAGTTGTGGAAGTTGAACAAACCACTGTTGGGTTGGAGGAAGGTGATGTTAGAGTTGATGAAACCACTGCTGGGTTGGAGGAAGGTAATGTTGGAGTTGATCAAGGGAATCCTGCAGTGGACGAACATACTATTGCAGTTGAACAAGGGAATCCTGCAGGGGAAGAATGTAATGTTGGAGTTGAAAAAGGGAATCCTGCAGGGGAAAAAGGTAATGTTGGAGTTGAAAAAGGTAAAGCTGCAGTGTATGATGGCTTAAGTTTATCATCTGATGATAGTGAAGATGAGGACTACAATTATGATAGCGCACAAGATGTGGCTTTTGAGGATGAGTCTGATGAGTGTGATGAGATTGAGGAGGATGAACTTGATACCCTAGTTGGTCATGAAAATGATGGTAATGGAGAAGTCCAAGAAAATGATGGTAAAGGGAGTGACAATGACAATGAGGACATGTAAATTGGTTGTGACAATGATGATAGCAGTGGAGTTCTAAGAAAAAAACATCCAGTTTTCAGACAGCCAAAAGACATGTCAGATTACAAGTGGGATGTGGGAATGTACTTTAGTTCAAAGGGTGATTTTAGGGAAGCAATAACAACTTATGCTGTGCAAAATGGTAGAGACCTAAGGTTTGTAAAAAATGACAGAGTTAGGGTAAGGGTTAGATGTAAAGTTGGTTATGAGTGGGAGGCTTATTGTAGCAAGTTGTCAAATGAAGACACTTGGCAATTCAGGAAAGTAATTAACAAACGCAGTTGTAGTAGAGAGTATAATGTGAAGCTGATGAGTAAAAAGTGGTTGAGTAAAAGAATTCAGAATAGCTTGAAAAACAATCCAAGGTTGAGTATAAAGGATATCAAGGAGAAGGCACAAAAAAAGTGGAATGTTGGGGTCAACAAAACCAAAGCTATAAGAGCAAGATTTGCAGCTAGAGACTATGTTGATGGTTCCTTTTTGGGAGATTACACAAGGGTCTATGACTACTGTCATGAACTGTTAAGAGTCAATCCAGTATCAACAGTTAAGCTCAATGTTGAACCTGTACAAGAAGGTGTTGAGGATGAAAGACCATATTTTAGAAGGCTTTACATATGTTATGCAGCGTGTAAGGAAAGCTTTAAGTTGTGCAAGCATGTAATAGGTCTAGATGTGTGTTTTCTTAAGGGGTTATGTGGAGGGCAGATTCTAGCTGCCATTGGGAGAGATCCTAATGATCAGATGCTTCCCATAGCATATGCAGTTGTGAAGAGTGAAAACAATGATAACTGGACTTGATTTTTAGAGCTATTAATTGATGACCTTAGAGGCAAAGATGAATTCCTGACTTACACCTTCATCTCAGACCAACAAAAGGCAAGTTTTTCTTTTATTCTTATGGTTTTATGTGTTTATGTTATGCTATTCCTGTTATGTTATATTGTAATTCTACATTGTATGTTATTGCAGGGACCTACTATGGATGAGCAATTGCCAAGGATGGAGCACAGGTTTTGTGTTAGGCACCTCTATAACAATTTTAGGAAAAAGTTTTCTAGAAAGATGTTGAAGAACATAATATGGAAGACTGCCAAGTCAACATACCCACAAGCATGGGAAAGAGAGATGAAGGGAATGAGGGCCATCAATGAAGAAGCATTTAAACATATGATGAAGACCCCACCAAGGTTTTGGAGTAGATCTTACTTTAGGACTGAAAACAAATGTGATGTTATTCTCAACAACATGTCTGAGTCCTTTAATAGTGTCATTCTTGAAGCAAGGGCAAAACCTTTAATCACTATGTTAGAAGACATCAGAACATACATGATGGAGAGATGGACAAATAACAGAATGAAATTTGGTACTTTGGATGAGAATCATATTTTGCCTAATATTAGAAAGAAACTTGATGTCACAAGCACATACACCAACAACTGGCTAGTAAGGTATGTAATATCAACATACATTAATTCTTTAGGATGTCTATGACATATATGTGACTAATGTATTTTTTTGTTTAACCATTTAGGATGTCTGATGAACATATATTTGAAGTAAGACACCTAGAAAATAAAGCTGACAAGTTTGTTGTGAACCTGAAAGATCAGATATGTTCATGCATAAGATGGGAACTCATAGGACTCCCATGTATTCATGCTCATTCTGCTATGAAGAGTAGGAATTTCAAAATTGATACTTACATTCCAGATTACTATAGGATTTCAAGGTACAAGGAAGTTTATAAGCATGTGATCTACCCTGTTAATGGAGCAAACTTGTGGGTTAAGACACCATATCCAGATGTGCAACCACCCAAGTTCAGGAAGATGCCTGGTAGACCTAAAAAGAGGAGGAACCTAGAACAAGGTGAAATTGATGGGTCTGCTCGCAAATTGAGAAGAACAGGTTTTCTGGTGAAGTGTAGTAGGTGTAAGAAAGCATGACATTACAATTCTACATGTAAGGACACAACAACCCAGACTACTCAACAATCAGCCCAACCCTCTCATACTCCAACTCAGACTGCTCAACAACCAAGCCAACACACTCCTACTTCAACAACTCAGCCTACTCAACAATCAAGCCAACCCTCTCAGAGCAAAGCAACACACACTGCTAAGAGAACTTCTACTCACCAATCTAGCAAAGCATCTCAGACTCCTAAGGGAAAGGTTGCTCAGAAGACACATGGACCTACTAAGGGCAAGACATAAAAGTTTCCTATAAGGAAGCCAACAAGACCTTTTGTGTCACCTGGGCCTACAACTAGGTTGAGTGCTGCCAAGAATGTTGTTGGCCCAGTAACAAGGAGGTTTACTCCAACAAAGAGGACCACGCCAAAGAAGAAACTCTAGTTGTGGAACATGTGTATCAGTTGTGTTAAAAGCATAACCTATTTTATGGAACATGTGTGGAATGTATTACAAGTTTATGTATTCTTCTGTTGTTGTGGAACATGTGTATCAGTTGTGTTAAAAGCATAACCTATTTTGTGGAGTGTATTACAAGTTTATGTATCCTGCTGCTGCTGTTGTTTATGTATCCTGCTGCTGCTGTTGTTTA